AAAAGATGAAAAAACTCTTCTCCTTCCCCACTGGTCCTTCACTTTCACAGTCTTCTGGAGGAGCTATAAATTTTCCATTTTACTTCTTGCTTTTTTCCTTCCTCCTGTCTACTCTCAAATCATGTCCTCCCTTCCCTCTTGTGTGGGTGACAGCTTCATGCCACTGTTCTTCATCATTGCAAAGAGTATTTTAACTTTGAAATGAAATGACTAATGATTTCCCTGTTGCATGCATGATTCTGACAAGAAATAGTAAACATTAAGGCTGTGTTAACACTGCTGTTGCTAAGATCAGCGGCCAAGATGCTGGAATAACCTTGTGTTACGGCATTGGCTAATACTTGGGTCATACTTGGAAAGCTGTCTCCGCAGCTGTATGTGCTAGAAATACTTTTAAGGTTTGGGGTTTGTTTGTTTGTTTGCTTTGTTTTTAAATTAAAAAAACTTAATTAAAAAATACAGCCACGCCTATACCCTTCCTGGCCTAACTGCATAGGATCTGTGTTGGATCCTCACTTAAACTTGATCTTAATGTCTTGGAAATACAAATGGCTTTAGTGGCTGAAGTACAACCCTAGGGATTGATGTTCTGAAGATACTCAATTCTAGGTAACTTTATTTTACTTAATGGTTTAGCAGCTATCCAGATGTATAAACCTGATATCTAGTGATTGAGGTATAAAACTGCTTGATGATCTTGGGGTTGTGGTGGACAAGAACTGCAGTTGGAACATGGAAGCATTGTAATTTGAAGCAGTACAAGCTGATTAACCGGTATGTCCTCTTGGTTAGTGTATGCATACTCAGCTGTGTGTCTGTGCAGACGCCATGACAAATTAGTCCCTCATACAACTCAATTTATACCCAGTTGAGGTTGTCATTATGGCAATTTGGGGAAGAAACGTTCAATCTTAGAGGAAAATTCAAGTGTCTCACCCTAAAACAAGATACATAGACTTAGAGATGCATCAGTAACCCTGAGTAACGAAGCGAGTAATTAGATAACCTGTGTGGAAGGTGCCATCCTGAGGAATTTCCAGGTGCCCTGTGACGTGTGGTGCTGCAGACGAAGTGCTCTGACATTGCCACCCATACCGTCCTGAGGAGTATCTCTATGGAGGATGTTACGATTTTTGAGGCTGTTTCTTGAAAGTGCAGTTATGTCATGCTGCAAGTCCTTACGTTCAGTTTCAAACACACTTGTGGGCTGGCAACATTAAAGACTGTCTTGAGTATAGAGGTGGGTAAAAACAGTTTTGTCCTGAGCCGTGATTCTCTGCTTGTGTGGAATGTAACTTTTACTGTCGATTTTGTTTCTCTGAGGAACTGTAAATATTCAGATCTTTTTTTAGCAGTGCTAAATAAGCCTACATAAGCAACTTGTGTGATTTCTGAGTAGTTCTGGATTTTGCTACATGTAAATATTTATTTTAGCAAAGTGAACAGCGAATTTAGGAACATATGTCATAGAAACTCAATTTGTTTCATGAAGTTGATGGACTGATTGTCTTGGGAGAGTTGGAGGGAGAAGGTGCAAAAGAAGGACTTTGTAAATACAGAATAGAGTCTGACTGAGTGTCCAATCTGAGCATACCTAAGAGTCATCGTTTCTCCCTTGTAAATTGTTACTTTTACCTTCTCTTTTCTGGAATGCTGCCCATATTGCCTTAGCTCGTCTAATACAGTACACGAGAACAGCAGTACTGGTCCTGGCAGCCAAATGAACAGCCACATCATCTGGCTGTATTTGTGAATTTATGTCTATTTTTTAAAATGAATTTTAATATATTGAATGCAATCTTAATTAAGGTGTTGTAGCTTCACTTTAGAAAATGACCTACCAGTAAGCAGTCCTCTTATTTTTAACCCTGATTATGCTGTTGTTTAAACTAGATTTTCTTAAAATAGTAGCTGCTTTCTGAGCTTCCTTAAGATTAGCTGCGTAGCTAAGCAGAACCTGCTAACAAATTGACACCTAGCAGCTCAGGTTTTGATTGTGAGGCTGATCTCTCTAGGGCATGTAAGGATTTCGGGAAAACCACCAAAAATACTAAGTCTCTTACGTGGGTAGATAAAGAAATCTCTAGATGTTTGTTTCTGAAATACAGTAGTTGGAAGAGTTGCTCATTTGATCATTTAGTCCTGAGAATGACTGAAAGAATATGCTGTGCCCTCAGAAGTATTTAATAACTTTTTCAGTAATGATATAGTATTTTAAATAAAAAAATTGCAGATCTTGCTTCCAGCTTCTGAAGCCAGTAGGTGGTGGTGATTGTCTTCTGATCATTATATATTGGCAGTAATGAACCTTCTTCATTGACTAAATGTGTTAAAGGAGTAATGTAATATAGACTGTTTTTAAGCATCTCATATCTCCCACAAGGAAGAATGTTATCGCAGAATGAATTTCCTGTTTGGGGTAATCTATGGGGTTTTTTGACATGCTCCAGTCTTTATGATTTTTGCTAGATGAAGTCATTATCCTAGTAAGTTGGGGGGTTTTGTGTATATGTGTATAATTGGACATGGGCAGGGTAATGGATTTCAGACACTTTACTCAATAGCTAATTCTTTTTCCGATGGTGTAAAAGTAGCCAAGCAAGTAGTGCTTTTTTAACTCATGTCAAAATATGGGTTAAGTAGCACTATAGTAGAAAAAATAGCTTTTTGTTTGCATCTAGGCTAACTAGGCTGAAGGAGAAACTAAAGTCTTTAAGGTGAGCTAATTCTAGAAAAAAAGTGATATTTACCCTTCCCCCAAAAGGCCCTTTATATTGGCTTTCAGAAGAGGAAAAATACCATCCATGGGCTTCAGTAAATTTTCACCTCAGAGCCCACTTTGAACTTGTATACAAGTTGCTGAAGAAACTGGCTTCTATTCTTGATTCAGAAAGCGCTTATACACTCAAGTAAATGTTGAATGGCACTTGAACCTCACTGAAGCTACTCAGTCTTACATTTTTTGAAGCAATAAATAAATTAATGTTTTCTGATCTTTAGAATATGGTGCATGTTACATATCTCTTTTTCTCCGCTCACTTCTGTAATACTGCTACATAGAAGGAAACGTACAGAAGTGTAAGATGAATGTGTTTTTTCTCAGATGGTATTTTCTGATCCTGGAGGTTTGTAATGACAATTGTCTTCCCACAATTTAACAGATAGTTTTGTGTGTGAATTGTCCCTTTGTTCTTTTACATTGCATCATACAAAATCAGAAAACGAGTCTGCAGTAAACATCAGGAGGCCATTTGGTCTCGTCTCTTGTTAAAGGGCAGAATCAAATATATTTACAGTATTCCTGACACTGGTCTGGTTTTGGAGGCCTTTGAGGATGCACTGATGTATGTCCTCCCAGACAGTTCCAGCATTCATGTTTCCTACCATTAGGATTTTTTAAATAGAACATTTTACAGTTTGGGTTTCTTAGCATCTCTTCTGTTGCCAGATGTTCCCCTAAGTCTCTGAGTTAAGTGGCTGGCCAACAATTTCCTTGTCTTTCTCTTTCTTCTCATAAATGATAGTTGTTTTTCCTTTATACTCATCAATATTCATGTATCATGTTGCAAATTGATTGTCTTCATTGTGCCTCTTTTTCTTGTGCTTTGCTGTTTTTCTGCCTTTCTTTTCAATAACCCGATTTATTTCCAATTTCTCCACGTGGATATATTACTGTGAGTGTTGGTCTTTTTTGCACTTGTGCCCATTTCCTTTGAGGAAACTTCCTTTCTTGTTAGGAGCTACTGACTTTTTCTTCCTTTTCTTGCTTCTCTTGTCTTCCAGAAAATCTTATGTATTAACTGTCTACATTTATCATATTCTGTCTTTATAAATTTGGGGGGTGGGGGTGTTTGCTCTTCTCCCTTATTCCCCTTTAGAGGTTCATAAACTCTTGGCTTGACTTTCTTGTGTCTTACCAGATTTTTTCCAGAATATATCTGGTAAGCTAAAATGTCCTCGCACCACGTTGTGTGCTTGTAGGACTGTTGCGGAAAGGCACTCAACAGATTCTGTTGTT